TGACCCAGGATTCATTTTCTCTTGGGATGGAAGAAAATTAAACAGAAATCAAGAAAAAAGAAAAAGCCTTACGATCTTCGCCGACTTTTATTTTTATTATTTTACTGCAATCAGTGGTTGCGCCGGAGAGCATATTATCTATATTTAGGGTTTTAATTAAGGCTTAATTCCAACAAAGTTCAAACTTCCTACTCGCTGCAAACTTGTTTGCTCATGTAGTAGGAATTAGAGACTAGGTCAAACTTGGATTTTACCTTATTAGAGTCATATAATTTCAGTGTTGTAACTCTTATTTTTGTAAACAAGTCCAAATTTATTATTTTATATATGGTGATCATATATGTGGAACATATTACTACTTAGAAAGGTACAAATTTTAACTTATATACTTTTAATTAATTTGCTTTCGAAATTGTTAAAATTTAACTGTATAAGAACTATATTCATTGGCAAAGTAGAAATATGTTTTTTCGAATATTCCTTTATTTTTCAGAAGTTCTTAGTAAAAGAATTTGAACATACAACATCAAATTAAAATAAGCTTTTTTTTCTTTTAATTTGTAATGGTTTGAGATTGTGTGAATTGTATTACGGGAACATTTTTTTGTGGTTTGTTTATGAAAATATTAATTAAGATATTTGACATTTAAATAAATGTTTGTGAAAGAATTATATTTTGTGGTTTTAACTCTCCATTGCTTTCTCGTCGTCTTTCATGTCCTTGCTATGCTCTCCTATTACCACCTCCTTGAAAGACCTTCCCATCAAGCTTTCTCTGTCTCTAGGTCGATGGGGTGTTCTGCTTTGCCATCCTTCCTTTCATCTCTTCATTTGCGTTCTTTTTCAATGGTTTAGGGTTTCTTACCAACAATCCACTTCTCATCAGTCCACTGTTGGTTCCCCGTTTCAAAGCCATCTCCATTTCGTGCTTCTCTCGATATGTAATGATGGCAAAGTTGGCACCTCTAGTTCTATCCTACGTGGATCTTCTCAGAAGATAAACGTCAACGATCCTACCGTATTCCTCAATCGCTCTTTTAATCGCCATCCACATTAGCCTCTAACTCAAGTTTGTCAGCAAACACTGAGTAAAGACTCTCCAGCCGTCGTCTTTCACCTTGTCTTCCTATGCCCGTCATGTTCCCAACCCTCTTCCCAAAGGTAAAGTCCCTTCTGAAAGACTATAATCAAGACATAGATATTGAAGGTGGTGAAGCTCACCATAACTAGTGGGAATCTCACAAGAAAAATTGATTATACGAAAGATTAATGAGTTGAAGTTACTATAAATTAACAAAGATTCTAGGAACCAAAACCTAATGATCTAACCAGAAAACGGCTTCAGTTGCATTTTTGTCTTCTCAATTGATTAAGAACCCTAAATATATGTATTTTAGGAATTATTTAGCAATTAAGTTATTTTATTTTTTTGTTTTAAATCTCTAAACCAATGATTTTAAGACATGTTGCTAGACAAAAGACTAAAAATCGAGTCAACAATTAAAAAATATAGCCAACAATATCTTTAAATATGTCATCTACTACATGATAATGTCATTTTCCTAAATGAAATATCATTCACATACTAATAGCATCCCGTTTGACTTGCTTACACCACTTTCTGTTAGGTTGTTAACTTTACGCAGCATATCTTGCGCATGCCGATTTCCATTTGCTTTTCAGTTTTTCAATACTTATGACCCATTTTCTCATGCGCCATGGTGATGTGTTAGATTCAAGAACCCATTTTACAACATTCTTTGAATCACTTTCAACCGTTAAGTCTACTCTCCTCCACCATTTAGACGTTGAAAAGATGAGAAAAGGCTCCTTGATTGCTAATAGTTCAACCAGATTTGAGTCACCCTTCCCTATTGACTTGGAAAATGCAATCGTCACCTCCCCAGCTGAGTCTCCTCTGTTGTTGAATGGTCGTGTGATATGGAAGATAGGTGGTGCATTGCTGTGTTATTTTGATAGGGGAATATAAAAAGGATTTTTGATTATGTCTTATACAGTCTTATGTCCAGCCTCTGTCAGCAGTTTTTGAATGCCAGGTCTGGTTGCCTGCGGGGTTGTGTTGAGAACCTGTCAGGGTTGATTTTTCTTTCTTTTGTTCTACCAACGTTGGGCTTGAGCCAATGCGTCTTGTTTGTAAAATATATAAGTTTACAATCCCTCTGTTTTCGCTGGGAACTCTTTCCCATTTATAATGAAATTCTTGATTTTCAAAAAAAAAATAAAATCAAATGGTCCATAATTATTAAGATCAAACTGGCAGCATTTTATAATGTACAGTAACAATTAAAAAAGCCATAAAAACCTGTTAAATGACCCAAAAGGCCAAAATAACTTACAATAATATATGAAGAAGAATAGTAATTGGTGAAGAATAAAGCTATCTTAATGATGAGCCACGAGTAAAAGCTTGTTGATCAGTATCGTTTGGAGAAACTTGCGGCCCAACCTACACTGTCCCCTGGCTACTTGAATGATCTGAAAACTCAACCTTATTGTCGTTGCAGGTGACGTTCAGATTGTCTTCATCTCCTCCAGAGCCTTCTGATACGTCCAGCAATCTGACAGTGAAGGCCACAACTCCTTGTGACCAATCCCTTGCAATGGCATCTGCAACTTGGCTGTCATCAATCCTTTTACCCAATGCGACAGCCTTAGCGGTGTACGACATTGAAGACGAATTTCTGGGAACACGCCTTCTTGTAGTAAACAGAAACAACAGCATGTTCATACGAATATGTCGACCAAAAGACGCCGTAAGGGTGTTTCTTGCCAAGAATCCAACGTCCCAATCGGCAGTTATTTCACCAGATCCCGAGATATTGAAGCTAGAAATGCCTTTAACCGTTGGTCATTAGGGATACGATGATCAGTATTGCAGTATCTCCTGTTTCGGAGAAGAAATGCCTTGGAACGGGAGGGGCTTGCACTCGCACGTTAGCAGGGTAAGCCGGCGCCATAGCGGCGTATAAAGGAACTCCAATGGCGCATGATGAGCTGCTTCTTTCTTACATTGACCCATGATTCATCTTCTCTTGAGATGGAAGAAAGTCAAAGAGAGATCAAGAAATAAAAGAGAATTACGATATTCGTCGACATTTTTGTTAATGTAGACCAGCTCCAACTTGGATTTTACCTTATCAGACTCATATAATTTCAGTGCTGTAACTTTTTATTTTATGTAAAAAAGTCCAAATTTACTATTTTGTCATATTCACTACTCATCCTTCAATTAATTAGGAACAAATTTTAACTTATACACAATTGTTCAAAATTAACTATATAAGAAGAATTATATTCATCAGCGAAAGCAAAATTATATTTTACAGAATATTCCTTTATTTATTAAAAGTTAATTAATAGTAAAAGAATTTGAATATGATACATTAAACTAAAATACGGTCTCTTTTTCGTTTTTTTTTCTTTTAATATGTAATGGTTTCAGATTGTGTGAATTGTTCTTAGGGAACATATTTTGTGGTTTGTTTCTGAAAATATTAATTAAGATATTTCACATTTAAATAAATGTTTGTGAAAGAATTA